TAATTTTAGATTATTTTGTCCCCCCGAAAGAAAACCTATGACTTCTTACTTGATCTTCCTCCTATCCCTAAGCAACCTGTTATCTACTTTCTTCTCTAAAACTTTGGTTATTGTGGACCATTCCCATAGTGGAATCATGTAATACTTATTTGTATCTAGCTTCTTTCACTTAACCTTTTCAGGGTTAATCCATGTTGTAGAGTTTCATTCTTTGTTAAGATTATTATTCCTTCATTGCTTTATTGTGCTGTATTTTGTTGATCTCTTCCTCAGGTAATGAACATTTGAGTTGTCTTCACATTGTGGCTCTTGATCTGAGCATTTGTGTTCAAGTTTTTATGTAGGCATATAATTGTAGGAATGAACTTTCTGGGTCAGTTAATGACTGTATGTAACATTTATGGAACTGCTGAGCCACTTTCCAAAGAAGATACACCATTTATAATCCAGGCAGCATTCCAATTTCTCCACATTTTTGCCCACACTACCAGTATCTTTTTTATTATCATTATCCTAGTGGGTATGCAGTGTTTGTATCATGGCTTTGATTTGCATTTATCTAATGACTAATGACATCAAGCATTTTGGTTTTTTTTTTTTTTTTTTTTTTGGTTTGCTTTTTTGTGTGTGTGGTACTGGAGATCGAACTCAGGTCCTTGTGCTTGTGAGGTAGGTGGCGGAACCAGTGAGCTAAATGCCCGGCCCTCTTGGGGTTTTTTATTTTGGTTTGGTTTAGGTTTTTTTTTGAGGCAGGGTCTTGCTATGTAGTCCAGGCTGGACTTGGTCTTGCTCTGTAGCCCAGGTTGGCCTCAAACTCATGGTGATCCTCCTGCCTCAGCCTCCTGCTTCAAGCATTTTCTCTTTCCTCTCCTCTCCTGTCTCCTCCCCTCTTTCTTCCCCTTCCTTCCCCTCCCTCCTCCCTGTCCTCCTCCTCCTCCTTTTTCCTTCTTCATCTTCTTTGTTATCTTCTTCATCTTTGTCTTATTCTTCTTCCTTTTTCCCTTCCCACCCCCATTGTTTAGTCTAGGCTGGCCTTGAACTCCCAGTGTAGCCCAGACTGGCCTCAGCAGTCCTCTTGCCTCAGCCTCCCAAGCACTGATATCACAGGCATGCACCACCACACCCAGCTAAGCATGTTTTCATAGCTATTCAAATATTTTGTTATTTTATTTATTTATTTATTTATTTATTTATTTTTGGTTTTTTGAGGCAGGGTCTCACTATGTAGTTGAGACTGACCTGGAATTCACTATGTAGCCCAGGCTAGTCTCGAACTCCTGCCTCAGCCTCCCGAGTGCTGGGATTACAGGCGTGCGCCACCATGCCCAGCAGTATTTTGTTCTTTTAAAAATTGGCTTGTAGGCCTGGGATTTAGCTCAGTGGTTCCACACCTGCCTGGCAAGTGCAAGGTTTGATCCCTGGTACTGGAAAAAATAAATAAATAAAAATAAAAATTGGGTTACTTGCCCTTTTATTGTTGAATTTTAAAAGGTATTTTCATATCCTGAATATAAGTTCCTTATTGATAAGTGATTTGCAAATACTTTTCTACCGTTCTGTGGATTATTTTTTCACTTTTTTTTTTTCTTTGTATTTGTGGTAGTAGGGATTGAACCCAGGGCCTCTTACACATGTTATGCAAGCACTCTATCACTGAGCTACATCCTTAGCCCTACCCATTTTTTCCCTTTAGTGTTGAGATTGAACTGAGGGCCTCATGCATGCTAGACAGTTGCTTTATCAATGAATTACATCCCATCCCTTTTTTATTTTTCATTTTGAGGCAAGGTATCCCTAAATTGCCTTAGCTGGCCTCAGGGTTTTGATCCTCCCTCAACCCTCCCAGTAGCTAAAATTACTGGTATGTGCCGCTCCCTGGTTCACCTTCTTGGTAGTGTTGTTTGCAACACAAAGGCTTTTAAATGTACAAAAGTAGTCTGGGTGTAGTGGCCTGCCCCTGTAATCCCAACACTCTGGAGACAGAGGCAGGAGGATCATTGCAAGTTCAACGCCGGGCCAGCCTGGGCTACACAGTGAATTCTAGGCCAGCCTGAACTGCATAGAGACTCTCTCTCCAAAAAGGAAAAAATAAATTTAAGAAGAGTCCACATTGACCTACCTCCCCTACCCCCCCA